TGCTTTTATAAGTCAGTGTTTGGCATTTTCAAGTCTCTAGCTAGAAGTCTCCCCTAATAACTGTAAGGGTAGGGTAGAACTGCCGCTATGGGTTTGCAAAACTGTAATTCTACAGGAGTAGAAAGCCTCATCTTTCTCCTGCCTTTTGCACGCTATGTATTGGCAAAAAGAAGGGTTGTCAATCAACTATTCTAAAGTTGCTAATTTCACAGCTGCTCCGTAAATGGCTCTATTATCGAGTTATCTTTTGGCTAGCCTTGGCATATGTTGTACAAACAGTGTATCTTAGAGAGAACAGGGGGGTGTAACATTGTCTGAAGCTGGGAAGATGAACTTATTTCACTGGAAATTTTCTTCAGAAAAGAATTGGTATCTAGTTACAACCACCATGAAATTTCCCAGGCTAAAACAATGTGGCTTATTATGTGAAGAAAAATGTATTGAGATCCAGTCACCTATTCATCTATGCAGAGCAGATTCAAACAATTCTGGAGGATATGTATGACTCTGAAAACACCCTCTTGGCTCCACCTTCTAACAGAGGCGGGCAGCCTTCTGTACAAACACAAGTCTCTGCTATTTACCAGCCAACCCAGAGTAACTCCTCTCTGGGAGTTAAATGACACCAAATATTTCTTACAACTCAGGGGAGAGAAACAATATTTAGAAAGTACCGCTTCACACATGCATGGGCTCCATCTATTCCTTCAAGTAATCTAAATGACCTCGTCTCACCCTTGAATCAACCAGGTCATCAGAAGAACAGGTGTTTATTACGAAGGCGTCTCTCCTTGTCTAGCTCATGCTGGGGTCAGGTTTTAATACAATTAGCTATGTTGAACGGCAAGGACCCTTGATTATGCTGGGGAACAGGCGTTGGGCTACTAACCACAAAGTAGTCAGTTCAAACCCACTAGCTGTTCCTCAGGAGAAAGATGAGGCTCTCTGTTCCCATGAGGATTCATAGTCTGAGAAACCTTTGATGGTGTCTCTGTCAGTTGGAATCCACTCGACGGCAGTGAGTTTGGGTTTTGGTTTTAGTTAACAAGTAAGTAAGCTATAAAGATAAATATGCTGCTTCATGGTATTCCTTCTTAAATACATATTTCGTTCTCATCCTTGTGAAGTTTAGACTTCTAACCTATTATCTCTTATTTACACTTGAAAGTTTTTTGCAGATAAAATAGAGACATAAACAAATAACTAATTTTCAAAATTCTATTGTTAATATTAATGCAATCAATCACAAAGGAAAAGATTGGTAAACCTGGCTACAGAGAAAATAAAAAACTCCCATGTGTCAAAGTATCACATGCAAAAAAATTTTAACTGTAAAAGAAGAGAACTAATTTGACGCAAATAATAACGGATTTGTGCCCTTGGTTCGTGAGTAAGTTTTTTGTGTAATAAGAGGAATACAAAATTAAGTAGATAACTGAAATAATGATAATAAGCAAATCAACCAAAAAATCTAAATGTTGAAGTAAATGAAGGGAAAGGAAACTGAAAGTCGCCGGACTTGCTCTCCTCACAGTGGGCTTTTCACGTCGCTCGGTTCCACCTTCTAACGCGACGAGAACAAGTTCAAGTGTATCCAACATGGCGATTGACCTGCCTTTCTAGTTCCACAAAGGAAAGGGCAGCTCCGGCCTCCTCCGACTCATACTCTTTCATTCTAAAGAGAAGAACTATAAATATATCATCTGGTTCGTAGGAGACTGCTATCGCGGAGGTCCTATTTCCTAGTGGGTGAGGCTCATGAATTATAGAGTGCTGCCATACACTCTTGTTCCCTGGCACTTGCCAGCGCTTAGGTACAGGGGCCCCTACCTCACCTGTCCCCAAGAGGGGAGGAAGCCGTTTCTGTACAGTGCCCTTTTCTCGACCTTCAAGGGAGTGAGCAGGTGGTAGACCGTGTGAAGCTCTCTTGCAGATCCAATAGACTCTGAAACTCTGTTACGCCAATACCTAAGCTTCCCTCTCCGGTGTAGCTTTTACCTGAAGCTGGACTAGAAAGAGTCCCTAGGGACTTGACCAGATCAGTAAGTTGATACTTAGCTTCTCAGATGCTAGTCTGTCCTGTGCAATGTCAAGTTAGAAGGAAGAGTAAGACTCAGGTTCCCCCTAGTTATAAACTTTGGACGTGCTCGTGGGAACCTTGAGCGTACAGACCGGAGCTGCACCTCTGAACCAAGGACCGTGGGGGAGATGGCAACGTGTGCTCTGGCCCGGAGCTGCCGGAGCAGCTGAGGGAGAAATTAGATGATCGGGAACATGCCTTCAAGAAGCAAGCAAAGCTAAACACACAGGCTTCTTGGGTAGTGAGAATTATTTTGGCTATCACATGTTTGTTTTGTTTCATCTCTTCTTTTGTTAATCATGCTTCTGCTTGGATTACAAGTGAGGAATTTAAATTATCCAGAAGTCTATGTGATAAAGTCTAATGGTGAAACCAGTCTGAGCTGTAGTTAATTACCATGGACCTTCTAACCATAATCCCTTATGTGATATATAATAAATTCTAGCCTCTATGCCTGTCATGATCAAAGCCTGGTAACATAGTGGTTTACACACTGGACTGCTAACCGCAAGGTCTGCAGTTCAAAATCACCAGCCATTCATCGGAGAATGAAGAAGCTTTCTCCTCCCACAAAGTGACAGTCTTGGAATCCCACAGGGCATCGCAATGAGTCAGAATTGCCTCGATGGCAGTGAAATGCCTGTGGTTATAATCCCATTTTGGAGGGAGCTCTCTGCCACGATAATGGACAGGAGGAAGGTGGGATGTGTTCTGAGTCTCTACCAGTGGGCATCAGTCAAGCCACCACCCTTTGCTTCCTTGGATCTGGTCTGCTGAAAGACAGAACGCACACGTCCATCAATGCCACCCCTCGGTGTGTAAGAGCCATCTCGGAAACAGAGGGGGAAATCGCAGAGCTATCAAGGAAGAAGTGCCCAGTGGAACACCCCAGTTCAAGATCTCAGTCTGAAGTGGCAGAGGCTGAGACCAGAGACACCAGAGGCCACGGGACAGAGCACAGGATCCAGGCCAAGGCCAGAGGTCGAGGCAAGGAGATCATGAGCCAGAACAATTGAGCCGCACTGAAACTACGTGCGAGGCTTTGAGACCAGCTTTGGATTGGCTTCCTGGCCCACTGAGGCAAAGCCCAAGAGTCCACCTGGCTAAGAAACTGAGAACTAGAGAGAGACTTGGCCACTGGCTGAGGGGAGGTGTTGCTGTGGGCCAATGACTGTAGACTTCATGTTTTCAGATCCTGGCTTGTGAGCACCTTCCCTTATAGCCCCCTTGACCATGAGTATGATCTTTAAGTTCTGTTGGCCATTGCAAGGGGTTATCCAAAAAGTAGAGAGTCCTGGGCTGAAGAGTTGATATCAGGACAGGGAGGGAGAACAAGGAAGGGTAGAGGCTTGTCTGATCTCTCCTTGTGGCAACTGGCCTCGGGTTCATGAGGAGTAGGATTCTCCTTCTCCCCAGTATATCCAAAGGAGGTCAGACATGGCCCCACGCAATGTTTTCACACAGTGCTCCCCAAAACCGTGGACTGGCAGCATCAGCAATGTCCTGGCACTTTCCAGAAATCAAATGCCGGGGGCTCCATCCACGACCTACTGAATGAAAAACACCTAGAGACCAGGAACCTGCATTTTCAAAGCTTGCCAGTCGATTCTTTTGATTCGTCAAGTGTGGACTGGCGGTGTGCACTGGCTATGGAGAGCATACTTTGTTTTCTTTCTTTGTCCAAAATAAACCTTTGGGGGGGGAAGCAGTCGATGTACTGATTCTACTGGAGCCAGACTGTGTTCAACCCTCAGTTGCACCCCTGCTAGCTGTAAGATCTTGGACAAGTTGGTTCACATCTCTGGGCCTCAGTGTCTGTCTCTGTCAAATGAGAATAATACGGGTGCCTTCTTCAGAAGGCTTGGTGAGTTAAACCGTGCCTTGCACATATTTAATGCTCAAGGAATGAGCTATTTTCCCCACCGCCATTGTTATCTGCTGGGTGCTGTCCTAAGGACTGTAGCTGGTTTGGGACAGGTAATAATCACTCAGAAGGTAACTGAGCCCAGAAGCAATATCTATCTATTACAAAACAAGATGTCTAAAGTACAGCAGCCAGGGACTCAGTAGAGAAAGACATTCGGAAGAAAGAATTTGGGACTTTAATGCCTTAATAGTTTAATTCACAAGGGAAAAAAGGATTTAAGATTTAGGTTGTACTTTCTCTGAGAATCTAATAATGTGAAGGCTTCAAATGGTCATCAATATGCAACTGGAAATGTATCTGGGGGTTATGCATATGCTGGTATGAGACACACTTAGGGCTAGGTGACCAGGCATAATCTGAGATGAAAATAGAACTTAAAAAGTGAATTTTCAGACTTAGGAAACACATGGTAAAGTCTTCCAAGTGCAAAATTGAAACGGCCCAACCTGATCCCCCAAGAGCAGTGGGAAACGCTGGAGAGAGGCCTCAGGCAGGCAAGAGGAGACCTACACTATTCTGTCCGTCTTCAGTGGAGGGGGTCTCTCCAACTGGTTGCATTCACTGTTGGCTGTTAAAACCCAGGAAACAAAACCAAGCAAACAAAAAAACGGTCAGGAGTGTCTGCCCCTTCACCCCAGGGGGAGCTGTGGAGGAACACAGCGCTCTCTGCTCTTCTGAAAATGCCCAAGGGAAGAGAAGAATGTCTAAGGTGCCTGACCTTCCTTAGGCAACTGCTCTCGGGGGTGGGTCAAAGTGCTAACCAGGCAGTGTCACGAGGTCTCTACATCCTCCTGGAGAGCAACACTGTGGCGCTGGCCTTTCCGGTTTCTGAGCTATCTTGAACGACCACCCCAAGAGCCTGGCTGTCTCAAATCTGGGGTCCGAAGCGAGTGCGCTTTGAGTATTCTCAATCTAACCAGTCTCTCGGAGCCAGAATGTCCTCTTTTGAAAACATTATCCAAAGGCATGAAATGGAATGACATCTCCACCTACCGCCTGGTGGGGTGCTTGTCCTGATTTGCACTGAGTGTCGCCAGGGGGATGTCAGCAGGGTGATATTCACGGTGTAATCCATTGCTGGGGACAGATCCAAGCACACTGCCGACATTTCTTCTCTTGTAGTGAAGTTAAATGATGTTGCATGATAAGCATTGTTCAGATACCACCTTTGACCCAGAACTTTAAACTGTCATGAGATTTAAAAAAAAGCATTGTGTTACATTTCCTGTTGACTTGCAGATGTTTACACTACAAGCAAAATGGACATACAAGCAAGGAAGTTTCTTCTATTTGTCCTCAACCGCTGAACGATTATTTTTTAATGCATTAGAAAGCTAAACTTTGCAAAGCTACCTCTCTGTTCT